CATTTCTTAAACCATACTTTCTCACTACATTTTTCTCATCACGTGCTCAATTTCACCTCACAAATGGAATTCCACCTTACCTTATATATCTATTATTCTATTTTTACACATTTGCACACAAAAAACACTTGAATTTTATACAATTTCACACATGCACCTTTTTATACATTCGCACACTTGCACTTACATTTCTTGCATCTTTCATACACTTTCACACTTGCACACTTGAATTTGAACTCTCATTTGCATTAATCGACCTCTATGAGGTTTTCCTTTGTTGGCCGCCACAATTCATGTGGTTTGGGACCAAAAGCCTCACAAGAGACATCGTAGAATTTAGGATTGCATTTTTCCTTTCCGTTTTGCATTCATATAGTCATATCCAACGTGCGATACATACATTGGGTAGAAAATTAGGAAAGGTAAGGTTAAGTCGCGCAACTAGCCTTGGCTAGGTCAAAGGGGTGCCTTGGATTCTATCCTTGCCTTCCCCTTTGTCAAACGTGACTCCCGAACCTTTTTCTTTGGCTTACGTGGACTAGGAGTCGTTTTTAAAAGGGTTTTACTACTTTGTCTTTAAAAATTTATTTTTTTTAGGTGACTTGGTACACCTTAATCATTACCAAGTGGCGACTCCAATTTCTCATTCAAAAACCCTTTTTAAAAACTATTTTTTGGGTCAAATCGTCGCTTTTTTCAAGTCCCATATTAGACCCATATTTTTTCAACTCACAAAAATCATTTTCCAATCAAAATTGAATCAAAAACATCTTTCTCAAACCATTTATTTTTCTTATCAAAAAAATGGGGCGCGACAGTCTTCCTGATTCTAAGGCAGTCAAAGCAGTGGCATTACGTGGTGTAGATGAGCAATTGGACATCATCAAATCTCAGTTGCTTGGTTGGTTTTATACTCGTTGTGGTGTCAAAGATAAAATCTGTAGCTTGGCATTGATGGGAGTTGTGAAGTCAACCTTGCAAGTGCTATCATGGTTGAGAAATTAAATCTTCCAACCATTGATCATCTTCAACCGTACAAGTTGATGAGTACTCATGGTATTGTTTGGGTTACTAAGCACACACTTGTACCTATTCAAATCGGCAAATATGTGGACGACGTGTTGTGTGATGTAATCCCAATTCAAGTGACACATGTGTTGTTGGGCAAAGCATAGATGTCGAGGCGAGAAGTTAAATATGATGGACATAGTAATAAGTATTCCTTCTTATTTAATAGTCGTCATTTTGTACTTGTATCACTTACTTATGACTAGCTTTGTATTGATCTAGCATACATGAAATGTGAGCTCGAGCATTATAGAATGGAGAAAAAGTTAGATGAGGGAATTGTGCCTGAAGAGGTAAAACCTGAGGGAGTTGAAAGTAATGAGATGAAAGGGTCAGCTGTTGAACTAGAAAAAGAGATGGAAAAATCTGATGAGATGGGTGGTAAAATGGAAGAAAAGAGAGAAAGTATGCTGATCTTGAGCAACCAGATGAAGGCCTATTATGTTCCTAACGAATTTACCTTTGCTTTGCTTAGTGTTTCTTCTTTTATACAAATCAAGCAAAGGCAAGTTGAGCTGATCTTGGTGTGTTCCATTCCAAAATAAATTGTAGACTTTGCAAGCCTCCATGGTGTTGGTACTCCAAGAGTTAAACCCCGTTGGTATCCATTCATGGAACAATCACTACAAGAATTTTGGTCATCAGTGATAACTACTTTTCGTCACAAAAAATCAAAAAGTCGTCACTGATGACCATTATTGACAACATTTCAGTTGTCGCAGGGTCGTCACTGAATCTCCGTCGGTAAAAGTATACAGTGACGACTTTAAAGTCGTCAGTAAATAGAAGTTTTTTTATGACAATCTATGTCGTCAATAAAAGATGAAAGTATACAGTGACGACTCTAAAGTCGTCAATGAATGAAACTTTTTTATGACAACATATGTCATCAGTAAAAGTTATAAATCTAGTGATGACATCTTCTCTTGTCAGTGATGCATGAAGGAACGGTAGTGAGGGCATAGGAGAATTAGTGACAACTTTGTTGTCAATAAACCCCTGATCAACTGTGGCAACAATCCCTTATCAATAGACAGTTTTGATTGAGTGACAATAAAAATTGTCAATAAAGACATCCTGCCTAGAAAAATACTACTCATTTACAACACCTTACACATGATTTTCCTACTACAATAATATCTAAAAAATAAAAACATTAGCAATGTTTAATAAATAACAAACATAAACACCCGTTACAATAGAAAATGCCAGAATAACATATTAAATATTCAAATGTCATAAATAAGTGCAACATCATAGTACAAATAGTTTCATAAGTTTCAGTAGAACAAATACTACTCATATAAGTCAAGGCTGCACTAAAAAACATATTCCAAGTCCCAAAACATTTCCTGCGCTTCCGAAACATTTTCTAAACTTAAGACAGCACTATAACCACAGTTTTTGAGCCGACATGTAAGCCGTACTGCTAATCTTCTTCGAAACCTCCAAAATGAGCAATATATCTGCAATAAAGTAGTAAAGTTATTAGTAGATGATAGAAAAATTTAAAACAAGAAAAATTAGTTAAGGAGTCACCAAAAAATAAAGTGAATCATTGGTTTAAGCCTCATCTAGATAGTGACTGTATAAATAGTAGAAAAAGAGACATTATATGGACAGTTTGGAAAAAAAGTTTTCCTTTGCTTTTATCTGCTGGGGCGAATTGTAATCTGCAGGTTGTTTTTTGTATTTCTTGCATAAAGCTTTATAAGATCTAACTTATGTGGCACTGTGGAATGAAGCAGCAGAATGTACTAAAAGTTCTGTAATAGCCCAACGTGCATGTCAGGCTTAATGCCAATGAATAAATGTATACAATGAATAAATGTACATCTTTGAATATCAAATCTCAAATAAGTCAGTAACTAATATGTAAAATTATGACTCCTTATTTGACATAATAAGGAAATAAAAATACAACATAATAAGGATGAAATCTGAATTTATTATGTTCTGGATTGTAAGTGTTATGTTACACCATTAAATGATGCATAGAAGACCTTGAAAGCAAGTTGCTTTTGCCATAATGGGCTTCCGCAAGTAGTGGATTCTTAAAAATTACTTTCCAAAAACTTGCTTGTTATCAAAATGCCCGTACTCTTTCCAGGAAGCACTTTCAAATGGATTACAGAGCACCCCCACTGTGCCCACCGCTACATTAAAGTCTACTAGAGGATGGAGGTTTAATAACATTCAATAAGAGCCAAGGATTATATGGACAGAATTATTCCACTTCTTTGTTTTAATATTTAGATGCCAAAGGACAGCAACATTGCAATTCAGGTGACAAAAGCAAAACAGTCTCTAATTGCTAAATAAACAACAAAAGTAACAAGCATTCGCTAATCTGATACCACTGTAATGAATGCAGCAATTGCAGCAGAAATAGAGTGATAAGGGGGAGCGAAACTAGACTTGAGGAAGAAGAAAGAGAGATATTATTTAAAATGATTTTTCCATGTTGCCCAATCCGGATTTCTGCATTCTTATACATCTCAAGAATAACAAAATAACTACTTGATTGTTGACTCAGCATAACAGTCTAACTAACAAGGAAGATTCCCTCTAACTACTTGAAGGAAATACATTTTGCATGTACTATACTGGTATTCTTCAAGTGAAATACTATACTGGAAATACATTAATTCTTCAAGTTGTAACTGACAATCCAGTGCAAAGAGACCAAACAGTACTATACTTGTATTAAAGGCTAGAAGGACACAAATTAATGGAAGGGGAGAAGATGGAGAAGGGGAGAGTATGTGTAACAGGTGGAACTGGATTTTTGGCATCATGGTTGATCAAAAGGCTTCTTCAAGATGGTTATTCTGTCAACGCTACAATTAGGTCCTCTTCAGGTTCATGTTTGCTAATTTACTAGTAATTAGTTCTCTACTTGAATTACTTTACCATTTCCATCTGCAACTTTACATATCATCAGAACAACAGTTTTTGGCAACTAAGTAGGAGCTAATTTCAGAAACGAAGGGTCTGAGACAGAACAGCAAATTGTCTGCACCATATTTGTAACAAGAAATCAGAAGCTTTGGTCAGCAGAGACAAAGGGAATGAAGAAGACAATGCCATGATAAAATTCAACAAGGAAAGAAAGGATTTTCCAGAGTAAAGGTGGTAATTAGGAGCCATCAAAGTTTCTGTCTGAGCTTTAAAGCCTAAATGTAGAGGCTAGACACTAAGATCAAATTGTAGATGGCAAAACGGCTCATGTTCCAGTGTTTCCTTGTTTCCATAGAATGGTTTTGAGCTTGCTCTTTAGAACCCAGTCATCAGTTGTTTGGGTTATTTTTCCCACTTATTAAAGATCCTTTAGAATTCAGAACTGAAAAAAAAAGTATCATCTAGACAATAACTAAATAAGAGCAAAGTAAGAGATAAAGCACATAGAACTTGAGAACTCAAGAAACACTTCTTTTATTTTTACTATGATATTAAAAACTCAAGAAACAATTGCAGAAAAACCATTGCAGAAGCGCAGGACAGCCATACGCACTACTGAACAACATGGATAAGTAAGGAACCTCAACAAACTCCATACACCAATTCTTTCCAAAACTACTGGACACTTATGAATGACAGTTTATATGATTTTTTAAAGGGAAAATTGTTGCCCAGTAGTTTGCTAAGGATGCAGAACAAAACCAATGCATAGGCTGATAACCTATTTCCCATTTCCTCTGCCACATCGCCAATGAGGTATTTAAAGAAGCGAAGGAAAATCCCAATAGTTAAAACGGCTACAAGTCCTAACCAGCAGACTGGCATCTCAGATCATACTAATGAAAACGCAATGCGACAGTACATTTCATTATCAAAGAACAGACGTTAATCAGCTCAACAAACCCCTTGGACAGACTTCAATGACGCTTAAAAGAAAAAATCAACAAGGAAACGGTGAATGAGAGGGCATACTATTTCCAGTTGGGAGGGAGCTTCTTGGTCTTTTTGTAGTAACGAGCGAGGCGGTGAATCCTGCGCTCCACCAGAATCAATCTGAACTTGGAATCCTTGTCCTTCCTGTTCCTCTCCAAATGCTTCCTGATTGCGATGGCCTTCTTGATCAGATGGTATAGATCCTCTGGAATCTCAAGTGCAAACCCTGCCCTCCGAACCAGAAAAAATCACTAATATTGTTATAAAAAATTTAAACAAAATAATACGCATGCAATAAGAAAAATGATATTGAATTGGCGGTCTTTGAGATGAAGTTGGCGCAGAATGTGGGGAATTTTTCTCACTATGGAGGGGAACACTAAGCTTTTGGCCTAATGCACAATAATTTGCAATACTGAATACGAAATAAAACACACCTTCCTTCATCAATGCAACACTTGCCAGGCCATCCCAGAAAACCTTAAAGGGATTGTCTACACTACAACTCTCGTACTCTCTTCTTGACATTTCCATCACATTATGAAGCCCTGAATCAAAGTCAAACCTGCATAACCCCAAAAAAAAGAAAAACAAAAACAAAAAAAACCGCGTATCAGTGCCAAGATTAAAGTGTTGTAACCTAAAATTGAAATGATTGATTCTCGAATCTCAATCTGTACAAGTGACAAGTCATTGGATTTACAAAGAGTGTCTCCTGTCTGGAAAAAGTGGGAAGAAGACCAGTTAGTATAGAAGTCATTGGTTGTGGGGATGGACCAAAAGGAGTCTCCCACAATGTATTCTAGGCCAAAAGACTGAATCAACAGTGAAGGAAGAATGATGAATGCTGGTGAAATTAAAAGGCGGGTAGGCATTTTTCGATCTTGGATAAGAATTAAATATACCGTGAGCCTTGAGGATCCCAAATTCCCACTCCACCCAGCACCACTTAACCCACTATTTCTCTCACCAGCAGCCACTCATAGCAACATCATACACCCAATTCCACTCCCTCCACCACCATCCAATTATTGGGGAAAAATTTAGGGCAAATTAATTGGGAAAAAAATTAGGGAAACAAGGTTTGCAAATTAGTGCAAACCCTGCCCTCCGAACCAGAAAAACTCCTTCCTGAGCCTCTGGACATTGCCGGAGTCATCGACCTTGTAGAACTAGAGGACGGCAGCCTTGGCCTTCTTCTTCTTGGGTTTAGTGTAGGGTTTTCTTCTTGCGCTTCTTGGAGCCACCACGGAGGCAGAGGAAGAGGTGGATGGTGGACTCCTTCTGGCTCCTTCCAGATGTTGTAGTCGGCTAGGGCACCACTGTTCTCCAGCTCCTTGCCGACGATGATGAGGCACTACTGGTCCGACTGCCGCCTCCGCTGCTGCTCGGGATTTGGGAAACGAATAAAGGGGGTTGAGAATAATGGGGTTGATTGAGGGATTGAATGTGTGAGGAGAACAGATGCGTCTGGATGTGGGGACTGGTCGACGGGGGAGTAAGAGTGGTTGCTTTTCTTAGTGTATGGTACCCACGCCACTTTTTTTCATTTTTAGTTTGAACAAATTTCGGGCACCGGTCAATCACGACGATTCAAGTCAATTTTAGGTTCAATTTTTATTTAAATTTACCAATGTATTTCTAATCACTACTTCTTAATATATTTATTAAAAAATTATAATGGATGAAAATTTTTTGCTAAATTCAAAGAACTGGTAAATGTTCTCTTTCTCAAGTTATAATAGTTTATAGTTGTTCTAACTAGAAACTTTCATTAATTTTTTCTAGTTAAAAATGTAGATTTATGGGTAATTTCTTTTTTTTTTTTTGCTTTCACATATTTAATTTATGTTAAATACAAAACCTACCAGTTTCCCTTTCATAAAAATATTAGTGCAACACTTTTTGAATTTTACTTACAAATATTTATGTATTTAACATAAATTAAATGATTCAGAGTGAAATGCCCATAAAGAGCAGAATATTTGTCCATGTAATGGAGGAAACCCACAAAGAGTTGGTACTTTATGGGCCATTTCTTTTTTTTAAAAAATTTAATTTATGTTGAAAAGATAACCTGCCAATTTTCGTTTTGTAAGAAATCAGTGTAACACTTTTTGAATTTTACTTACAAACATTTATAAATTTATCATAAATTATATGTTTGAGAGTAAAATGGCCATAAAAAGTTGGTACTTTGAATAGATAATGCTCATTTGCCCATAAACTACACTCCCTGAAGGCTATTTTGTTAATTACTTTGTAGTACTTTGTTATTCCTTTGCTAATACTACTTGGCATGTAGTACAACGGATAAATCTGGCATAAATTTCTTATTCCATTGATAAAAAACCTGCCTGCCTTATAACTATTGTAATGAAAGATATATCTTTATAGTTTATAACAAATTATTACTTAAGTTTGAGAAAATTATAAAATATTTATGCATAGTTTATCAAGATACCATTCGCAATTTCCTAATAAAAAAATAGGGGCTAAATTGTAAAAGTTAGGGTGCCATAATAGAAATAATAAAATTGGTGTATTACATATGGGGGTTAAATTGCAAAAGTTAGAGTGCCATAGTAGAATTAATGAAATTGGTGAATTACATATGGGGCTAAATTACAAAAGTTAGGGAGCAATAATAGAATTAAAGAAATCGGTGTACTACATATGGGGTTAAATTGTAAAAGTTAAGGTATCATAATGGAATTTTTTATAACATTTGGGGCTAAATCGCAAATGTTAAGGTGGCACAGTAGAATTAATGAAAGTGACTTAGAAATAAGTACTTTAAACAGTGACGATTAATTCTTGTCACTAAATCCGAATCGGTAGAGTGACAGTGACGATATTAGAAGTTGTCACTATATAGATCATTTTAGTGACAACTTTTTCAAGGTCGTCACTGAAGACTTAGTTGCTTTGAACAATTATGACAACTCTCCTTGTCGTCACTAAACAACCACGTTTTGTGACGACGTTTGTCGTCACTAAAAAATGTTGTCACTAATGACCATATTTCTTGCAATGTAGTTTGTGACGAAAATAACAGGTCGTCACTAAACATTTAGTTGCTTTGATGCAATTGTGACAACTTTAGGTGTCGCGACTAAAGAAGCTCCTTTTGTGACGAATTATTGTCATCACTACAAAATGTTGTCACTAATACCTTTTTTATAGTGATCAGTGACGACAACAAAAAGTCGTCAGTAAATAGGCCAAGCAATAGTGATGATGTTCTTAATGTTGTCACTATTGTGTGTTCTAAACACTCCCGCGCTCTTGCTAAATCTTGGCGGGAATTTACTAGTGACGACTTTTTTTAAGTCGTCACAAATAAGTTGGCTCCCATTAGAGGTTTGTGACGAGTTAGAAAGTCGTCAATAAAGGATCCACTTTTGTGACAACTTTTTTTCGTCACAGAGAAAAGTTGTCACTGATGACCAATTTTCTTGTAGTGAATGTCAACTCAAATTAGTCCACACCAAAGGGGAGTTGATCTGAGCTCATCTTGAAGGGAACACTTCACATTTTGGGGATGGTTGTGTACCAAGGGTTAAGTACCTCAATGACCATTATGATTTTCGTCTTGCTCTTAGTCCACATGAAGCTCCAACATCACCAAATCCGCCTTGGTGCCTTGCAAGTGTGTTCGAGCCGGAGTTCGATTTTATGGGATACACTTCACACCACTTTGAGGACCCTTACCTCATAACCACAAACGATCAAGTTGAGCATACATTGAAGATGGTTTGTGAGATTCAAGGCTCGACAAGGGTTATTTTCCAACTTAGCACGTTAGTTTTGCATTGGATGACATCTATAGCCATCATAACAAGATTGAGTCGAAGGCATGTAACTCGTCTTGTCACCATTCGTGCTTCAATTTGTGGGCAAATTGCTTTCAAGAGGAGGGGAATGATACGAACAAGAGGAGCCATTGGAGTAAAGCCATGAGTTTTTCTTGGCTGGTTGTGAGCATTTTCAAACTAACCAAGAGACATGAGCACCGAATCATAGTAATCATGACGTATGCAAGTATCATTCAGTCTAAGAGGGCCAATATGTGGTGGCATTAGATTTGGGGTTCATACTACCAACTCTTGTAGTATCATCCATTTCTATCCAAATTTGAGGACAAATCCTTTACAAGTGGAGGGGACTGATGTGTGCACGGACCTTTGCCCAAGTAATGACCCAATTCGAGTTCCATTAGGTCCAGTCACATGAGCACGGGCCAAACACGTCAAGAAGTCACTCCAAACCCTTGTGCGAAATGCCCAAAACCAACAAGGAATCCATAGGGATATTGAAGGCTTGGAAAGGGATAATCAAGTTGTCTATACGATGATCCAAACCCATGAAGAATCAAATGGGCCTCCAAGTGGGATGGCCGACTAGGCCTTGGGCCTTAGTGCTAGGTTTCAATTGCTTTGAGTTAGATTGGATTGTTTTATTGAGATATGGGTCGGCCCACCTTGTCCAAGGAGTAGCCGAACCTCCTTTCCTATTTTCCTTAGGGTTTCATTAGTCCCTTAACCTATATAAAGGCTAACTTTGTAAGGTTAAAGGGGTACACAAGTTTTATAATAAAAATTCTGATTTGTTTCTCTTCACTTATTAAGAGCATTCGATCCTTTACTTGCTTTTGGCAAGAGTTCTTGAGCAATCACGCGAAAGTCCTTGATTGTTTCACCGACCTATCCATTAGAGTATCCACCTCCATTGGAGTCATCATTCTACCACTTTCAATCAATTCGTGTCGTCCGTTTTGGTTTAAGGTCCCGCAATCCAAGTGTTGGACAATCTCGCTAGATCCTTGGGCAAACGTGCTACGTGTCTCGAAACATATTGATTGAGGACCGCCCTCAAAGGTCTTGGCCTTTGCTTCTCCATTTTGACGAAAGTTTCACTTATACTTTTCACCTCAACTTGCTCTTGTTGGGCCCATCTTCTTCCTCTTCTTTCCGTGTTTAATTTTTAAAGGTAAATTGTGCCTTTGGTGAAGAATTTAGTACCTAGAAATAACCAAATTGAAAAAACTAGAAGATAGAAAATATAAAATTAACAAAATAAAGATAAAGTAATAAAGTCTAGATTAATAAAAACTTGTTTTAACTCTAGTGTTGCACCTAAGTTCCCGACAACAGTGCCAAAACTTGATAGGGACTTTTTACTCACCACAAATTTTAAAACCTTATAACCCTATTTCTACAAATGCATGGTTCGTTTATTGAGTATAGGGATAATCAATGTCAATCCCACAGGAACTTAGATTATGGCAACTATTTGAGTTTAATTACTTGCTTTATTATCGAAACAATCAAAGTTTAAGGAACTAAAAGAAAAGAAAGTTAACTATGCGATAAAACTGGCCATGAAAGATGTTAGTTTAGGCAGTACAACTGACTATACGACATAAACAATAAATATAAAACCAGCCATTAGGTGATAAAACCAACCATATAGGCGGTATGTTGCAAGAAAATAAATAAAATTAAAGACAAGTTAGATTAGAATTACTTAAAGATTAAGTGAGAGGATCCTAGGGATTAAAATCCCTTGTTTTGTCAGGCTTGAAGTTAGTTAAGGTGACTATGTTTATGCTTCCATGAATTGTCAAGGAATAACTTTCAAATGGATGCCCTTGCTTTTGCTAATGGACATTCTTAAGAGAAACCGCCTTGATTAGTTTCTCTAAAAATTGCTTTTGCCAATCTCTTTAATTTCTTGAATCATCCTTCACCTATGTTCATAGAGAAAAGGTAAGAAACTCCCTCCTCCTCCTCCCTCTTCCTTCTCCTTCCTCCTTTCCGCTTTTCTTCCCTTTTCTTGCCACAATCCCATCCCTCCCCTCCTCCTTCTTCTT